TGCCCTGTACTGCTGGCATCATTCCGTATAAACTACAACACAGGACACTGGGTAACATCGTTCTTCATGATTTGCTGGTCATTCAGAATACTACTCCAGTCACAGTGCTGTCATTGAGAATCTGTTACAAGGTTCTGGTGGTGTGTATCTGATAGTAGTCAATATATTAGAAAAGGAAGCAGTCAAACAGCTTTATCAGTGGCTAACAGTTGTGAGAAACGAAGCACAGAAAGCTCTTAATCAATGCCATGTTATTGTAATAGTTAGTCATGTAGATGAGATAAGTAATTCCGATGAAAAGAGGAGAAAGGGAGAAATACAGGAGATTATTTTAAGGGAAAGGTGTGATATTATCTTCTTAGATTGTCGTAAGCTTGGTGGGAGTCATGTGGATTCCTTCTTTGAAGGATTGTCTATTGCCTGTGTGTCTATTCGTAGTACAAGAAGGAATAAATCTAGTCTTTACGATCATGAAATGTACCGACTACTGGTGGAAGCAGACAAGAATACACTGACCTTTTGGGATGTGATGGCTGCTGATGTTGAGGACAATAATGATTATGTTATACCAGATACAAAAGAAGATGACTTGGAAGTTGGATGCTCTTCATTCATTGCACTCAATTGGTTTAATCAGTGTTCTTAAAAGTGAAGACAAAATGTGGGTTGTTGTGGATAAGGGTATACTACTAACTGAGTTGGATGGGATTCTCTTTGCTCCAAAGACATTCAAAGAACACGTTGGCATTGCTAGCAATACTGGCGGACTATTGTTAGTGTGTCTGGCCTAACTAGACTCTTCCCTTAATATGATCCTGACATGTTGATCTGTTTCCTGAAGAACATGGAACTCTGTCAAGAATTGAATCCATTATTCCTAAAATTTACAGATTTAATAGAAGGAGAGACAGAGGAGACAGGAAGCAGTGCCTCAGAGACTCAAGGAATAAGAGATAGGTTATTGTTCTTTCCATGTCTTTTGTCTACTGATAGACCTAAGAGTTTGACTAGTCAAGTGTACCAGTTTGGTTGGTGTCTACAGTGTACTAGAGAGCATCAATTCTTTCCTCCTCGATACTTTCATGTTCTCTCATTACATCTTGCTTTTAAAATGGCTCAACCTCAAGAAGATGGCAAGTTAGAGCGACATTGCTCATTTTGGAAGAATGGACTATATTGGTTTAATGGTCATGGTGTAGGATCACTGATAGAAATTGTGGATGAGAGCCAGTGTGTACTAGTAATGATGTCCTGTGAAAAAGGATGTGACAATATAGTGTCTCTAAGAAGAGATGTAATAGGAGAGGTAATGAGTGTTTACAAAGAATCCTGTCCCAGTCTAGAGGTAAAAGAGATAGTTATTGATCCTAAAGAACTAGGCTATCCTGTGATACACCAAGAGAAAGGGCAGTGTATAGTGTAAAAGATAT